CTTGCTCTTATATATCAGTTCTGTTGCTATCCTCTTCCTGATTTATCAGGTCATGCTTTTCTTTACTGAAACAATGTTGCACACTTTTTTTTTTGGTACTGGGGATCGAACCTGAGACCTTGCTGTTACATGCTTTTAATCGGCATCTTGAGGTTGTTTACTGTGAAAGGACACTCAGCTGAAGGGTAAGGAGGGCTGAGACCCCACCTCTCTTCTCTGTACATGCCATGTACCCTGGAGTGAGGCAATAAAACTAGGTGCTGTTCTGCCTTTAGCAATCTCCAAACCAGGTGGTCCTCTGACCTCGTCTAGCCAACACAATCTAGTAGTTTTGTCCATGTCCTTTCTTGGTATAAAAGCCCATAAAGATGTGATATTATAATCTCAAGTGTATCATCCCAATTCTTCACTTATTTGTACAAGCTGCCCTGTTTCTGTCCATTATATCCTCCTCTGCCCCATGCCATGTGGGCTTCAAGATGCCCCTCAGCATCTCTGGATCCTGGTGCTCATGCCTATGTCTGGTTGATTCTAGCAGGAGCAAAGAGTTGATTCTAGCAGATGTGATATGTTAGGGATGATGGGAAATGACTTCTACAATAGTAACAAAGCAAAGTGCTATACTGTAAGTTGCATGAACACATGCACTCTTGATCCATAGAAATGATGAGGTAATAAAGGTGATAAGCAGTGACTTGTTAAGCAGAAGAAGATTAGATAGCCTCTGAATTCAGGAAACTCTTGGTAATCATTGGTGGCTAGGGAAGTCCTTCCTCTTTACTACCGTGTGCAGCCACCAGCATGGTAGCCAGAGACCCATGAGTTGGATCTCTGTCCACATTCATTCTCATTGAATTTCTTTGTTTTGTTTTGTTTTTTCCCCTCCACACTCCGGAAAAGTTTCTTGAACTTTCTTTCACATGACATTGTGGTCTTAAATATCTGTATTGGATTCTGCTACCTTTAGTGTGGATTTCAATTGTCTGAATTTCAATTTTAGATTCCTTAAAATTTTCTCTAGTCTACTTATTTCCTTGTTATCTTAATTTTTCTTTTTGCTTTCTGAACTTGGGCTTCTTTCATATTGGTGAGGCATTTTTCTGAATTTCAGAACATAATTTCAGAGATACTTGTTATGCTCTGGATCTGAAATGTTCATCTGAAGTCTCATGTATTGGGAAGATGACTGGAAAATGGGGTTGCTATAGCTGACTTGCTACTAGGAAGGGGGCCTGGTTGGTGGTGGGTCACTAAGGGTGTGACCTGGAAGGGTGTGTTCTTGCAACTCATCCCTTCTGTAATTCCTGGCCACCATGACACGAGCAACTCTTCACTGTGCCCCTCTGCCATGCCATTTCTGCCTTGGAACCAGCCAACCATGGACTGAAAATGTGAAACAAAAAAAAATGTCTCCTCCTTTAAGTTGTAGATGTTCGGTACTGTGTCGTCAAGAATGTGACTAAGACAGCACTGTATCAGATCTGATGCTGAATTCCCATCCTCTCACTCTCCCGAGGCCAGCAGTAGCTGGGACAAATGAGCCAGATGTGGCTTGCCCTCACCATGCTCTCCATGTTTTTACTTTCTATTTTGTGGTGCTCCTGTCATTGTAGACTACAGTCTACTGCGAAGCAAACAGGAACGAGAATCTGGAAATGGGGGAGGGGATCAATGTGTAGGGCCACAGTAGGGATATCTGAACCAGTGAGTTAAAGACTTCTCCTTGCCAGTACTTGGACAATCACTGGGACAGTCACTCTACGTAGCCCTCTTTGACAATTGTGATGGGATCAAAATGCAGTGCTCTCAGCCTTTCCTCCTACCATCACTCCACCAGGGGCCTCTTTTCCCTGGTGCCATAAAAGATGGAGACCACTGTTTTAGATGATTCTTTTTTCCTACTAGGATAAGAAAGGAACTTACTTATCCCCTTGTGCCTTATAAATTACTTAATATGTAATCTACAATGAAAATGGCTGGAAATGGCATTCCAGTAATTTGACTAAAGCTTTTTAGTTGGATTTGCATCTTTGAAGGCATTTCCTGAACCCTGCTTGACCTAGAATGGCCTCAAGTTTTTATTTCCCAGTACTGAGGATCTAATGAAGGATCTCTTGCATGTTTGGCAAGTGCTTTACCACTGAGCTACACCGGTCTTATGGTCTGCTCACAATATTTTCAGAGGAAAAAAAAACTAGAGGGAGGATGGTTTCCATTACATTGCCTTTGCTGCCATCTAGTGACAGTTTTTGGTAACATAATGTACCGGAAAAGCCTGTTGAGGAAGTCTCTACTCCTGAGTGTCTCCATAGCTAGGGGCCTTCATTGGCTGGAGATTCCAGCACAGCTGGGGTTTTGGGGACTTTTCATCTGCGGGTTTGCATCAGTGGTCACACTAAAACTATCAAGAGTACTTACATGTCTCTGTTCCTGCGGGGGGTGACTGCCCTGAATATCAGGGTAGCATAGGGTTAGCACCAGGGCTCTCAGGTCTGAGGTTCCTCATCTGAGAAGTTACATTTAAGTCAGCATTCCTATCTCAAATTCCTGAAATAAGAAACAGTTATTCCTGAGAAATTTCTCTACAAATTAGGAGGCAGAGTGACATACCGGACAAACCACTTGGTACTGGGCCGGGGATTTAGCTCAGTGGTTCCACTGCCTGCCTCTCGATCACAAGGACCCGAGTTTGATCCCCACAAACAAACAAACACTTGGTACTGTAAACTTGAGCCACTTTCTGAAATGATCTATGATGTGGAATAATAAACCTTCAATGTAACTGTGCTTGGGGATGAAGACACTGAGGCAGAAACTAAGATTCAATGATGTTGAGGCCAGGCACTAATCCAACAGAACTGGTGTCCTTATAAAAAGAGAGATTATAGAGTTCTCTGTGCATGAATACCCATATGATATAGTGAGGGGGCACCGCCAATCTCCTGCAAATTAGGAAGAGGCTCCATCAGACACCAACTCTGCTACAAATCCTGACCTTGGGCCTCTGGCTTCCAGAATTGTAAAAAATAAGTTAGTGTTGTGTTTGTTTTTGTTGGTGGTACTAGGCACTGTACTCAGGACATTTGCAGATCTACATTCCCAGACTTTTATTTCTATTTCTGAGGCAGGATCTTGCTAAGTTACTTGAGCTGGGATTGAATTTGTGATTCTCCTGCCTCAGCTTCCCAGAGTGCTGAGATTATGGGTGTGTGCTACCATGCCCAGCTAATGGCATTGTTTAAGACACCCAGTGTGCAGTATTTTTTATAACTTCCCAGATAAAGCAATACAATTATCCAATATATGTAAAGCACCTGGAACATAATGGTCCAAATATTGCTTTCAAGTCTTCCACATTTCAGACATGGATATTTGATTATTATCCTTTACCACTCAGATGTTCCCACAAGCATCTCAAGGTCATTTTCTAAAATGAATATTGTGTATCATCTCCCCCCCCCACCCAATCCTGACTGATCCTCTTACTAACCTAGGCTGGAAAACTCCCATCAGTTTCCTCTCTGGTCCACACCTTACATCTGATGTGTCTCCAGGTTTATTCAGTCACCAGGATAGACTCCTCTTGCTTCTCTTCTTCTGCAGATCCTACTGCAAACACTTCTTCCTCTTGGGACTATTCTGAGGCCTCTTGACTCTCACGATGCCAAGAGTTCTCCTTGACCGGTCTCCATTTTTAAAGGCATCTAAAAAGTTTCTCAGGTTGGGAATTTAGCTCAGTGGTTCTACCCCCTGCCTCGCAAACACAAAGTCCCAAATTCAATCCCTGGTACCAAAAAATAAATAAAAACAGTTTCTCCAAAAATAAGATCACATCTAGAGCCTTCAATGACTTTCCAATATTGGATTAGAGGATGCCTGGTCATCAAAAAAGATGTGCTAAACTCTCCAGTCTCTAAAATTAATGTGGAAACTTCTCAAAAAACTAGGATTAGAGGTCTATTTGACCCAGCTATTCCTCTGTTGGATATCTTCCCCAAAGAATTAAAAGCCTCATACCACAGTGATATTATGTACATCCATGTTTATAGTGGAAGTTTGTAATAAATAGCAGGCAAATTTCAAGTTTGAGCAGTTCAAAACAGGAAAAACAAGTGATTCTTCCAAACACTGTGCAGGTCTGTCACCTAAATCATTATAGTTTTCAAAAGAAAATTATGGGCCGGGGATTTAGCTCAGTGATCCTGCCTCCTGCCTCACAAGCACAAGGACCCAAGTTCGATCCCCAGTACCAAAAATAAATAAAAGAAAAAGAAAAATAAACAGAAGGCAGTACTATGCAAAATACTTTTATTGATAATTGTAAATAATTCAGCAAGAAGTGATTACAAAATATACCAAAAAATCAGAATGTTGGAATTCAATAGAAATGAAAACCTGAGCTGAAGGTTGATCAGAAATGTGAGACACTTGGCACCATTTTAATGGATGTTAAGAAACGTTTGCTAGCCTTCTTAAACATTTACTGTAATACAGAAAAAGTAAGTTTTAAAGGAGCTACACAATGCAATGACATATTAAATGATTTTTGCTGTTGACAAACAATTGTCTAAGATAAACAGATCTATCAAAAGCTCACAGTCTTGAAGGGAGGTTTCTAACTTGTATTATTTTAGCAAGAAGCAAGCTGAGATTTTGTTGGTAAGATATTATTTATTCATGTACATCTAAAAGGCTGGCTCAGTTTGTCAGAGCACAAGAAAATGTACAAAGAGGCCACGGGCATGATGAACATAAATCAATCCTACCTCTGGAAAACAAGTGACATATAAGTAACATCATGACAAATGACAGTATTGTATATATGAGACTTGTGGTCTAATTTAATCCTCACTTTGTATTCTTCAGGATCTGTGATGAAAAACATGGTGAAAAGCAGGATTGTTCTCACCCCTTTAACTAGCAACTGTCCAATAAAAAAAGGGGGGAACACAAGAAAGCTAAAACATACAGGGCTTTGCTGATTATTGTTATTAACTTCATTATATACATTTCATTACATTGAATCTTGAGTCACATCATGAGCCACTAGTTAATATACTAAACTTTACAAACCTAAGAGCTCCACATTTGTTGCAGAACTTCAAAACTAATGAAATTCCTTTCCCCTTTAACTGTTCCTTCCACATAAAGTCCTAAAACTGAGTAATTACTGGCATGCCTGCACTTTCACAAATGTGTTGTAAAAACACGATCAAAATTATACAGAGAGGAATTTCAAATGAGGTCAGGGATCTTATAGTCTCTCAGAACATGTCTTCAATTCTTTGTACTTCAAATTACATTTAAAAAGGTGGGGAGGTGTAGCTGGACTCCCATAGTTTCAGCTGTCATTAAACCCTCAATGTCTCCATGCCAGATCTAGAATCTAAGTGCTCTACTATTAAGTGGTCCTAGCTCTAAAAATATATTCCCAGTTCTTTGTGCTCTATGTCACACAGAAATGAGGACAGCTGGACCATGTAGTATCAGTCCAATAATGTCATTAAACCCCAATGTCTCCAGGCTAGGGAAGGATCCAATATCTAAGTGCTCTGCTAGTAAGGGTCCCTGGTTGTAAAAACATTCAGTGCTGTTCCATGTCATACAAAAAAGAAATGAGGGCTTCTGGACCTGTGTATAGCCCAATGTCATTAAACCCCCAATGTCTTCGTGCTAGGGAAGGATTCAGTATTTAAGTGCTCTACTGTTAAGTGTTCCCAGTTCTAAGACAAAGCTTTTATCTTTACTTTTTATTTTTTTTAAAAAGGCCTGAAGCAGTACCCTTTCCTTGGCGGAGAACAGCTGCTGACTTCCTTCCTGCCCCAGCTTTCCAGGAGGTCACTAGGTGAGGTTTTGCCCTGATGGTTTTACTGTGGCCTTTCCAGGGCTTTTCTTCCTTGTGCACCTTCACGTGCTGCCTCAGATGAGAGCTCTGGCTGAAGCACTTGCCACACTCACTGCACTGGTAGGGCTTCTCTCCAGTGTGGGTTCTCTGATGCTGAATAAGGTGGGAACTCTGGCTGAAACAGCGGCCACACTCATCACACTGGTAGGGCTTTTCTCCAGTATGGATTCTCTGGTGCTGAATGAGATTTGAACTCTGTTTAAACCTTTCTCCACACTCATCACATTTATACGGCTTTTCCCCAGTATGGATGCGACGATGCTGAATGAGATTAGAGCTCTGGAAGAAACTTTTCCCACAATCAGCACATTTATGGGATTTCTTTCCAGTATGGATCTTCTGGTGCTGAAAAAGAGTGGAATTCTGACTGAAACTCTTTTCACAGTCAGTGCATTTGTAAGGTTTCTCATCCAAGCTTCTTCTAAGCCTGCTCAAACCTGAGTCGAAGCGAATGGTCACTCCCCATTTCTGCCGCTGCCGGACTGTCTTGCGCTTGCTCTTGTTCTCATAGGCTTTTCCTTGGCTTGAGCTCCGAGAAATACCCGCTTTCCCCCCTCCTTTCGGTTTTGCTAGCCTCATGGTGAAAAGCCAAATGTATTTGTTAGAGTGTCCACTATCTTCTGAACTAAGGTCTCATTTCCTAGAGTTACAAAGCACAGTATTTTCTGTGTGGAAGAAAAAATAATAAATTATAGATGATCTATACCTCAATGTATCAAAAATTACATTGATATTTAAATTAAAGATGTGTTTAACATAAATGAAAACAAAGTTAATTCTGGGGGAAAATATTTGCAGAATAATTCTAATAATTCCAGTGGTTAAATTTAATTAAATAGCACATTTTGATTGAATTTACCATTGGAGAGTTTTTGTCTATTGGGAAGGACAAAAAAAGTGATGAGGTAAAAATTTTTTTAAAGCATTATCACTGGTGTGGTGGCACACATCTGTAATCCCACAACTCTGGAGGCTGAGGCAGGAGTATTGCCATGAGTTCAAGACCAGCCTGAACTACACAGTGAAATCCTGTCTCAAAACACCGAAAAAAAAAAAAAATCGAGTTTCTTATTTTAAAGGACAAAGAGGAGTAAAGATTAAACAACAAGAATATAATTTCACAGGGTAATAGAATACAGTGGACCCTTGACTTACAAACTCAATCAGTTTCGAGGGCTGGTTATAACTAAATCAATATAGCTGAGATCTGGATGCTTACCTGGGTACACACTATAGATAACAGAAGGCAGATGAATTTTCCATTAACCTAATTAACCCAGGTTGTCTGTCAGGCCGATCGTAACTTGAGGATCCACTGTACTTTTATTTCAGATTTACTCCCACATTAACTTTCTCATTTAATGGTGAATTAATGAGTCCAAATTTGAAAGACATGACAAATCATATGTGATATGAACCTAGGAATCTACTATTTGGCCACAAATAAGTATGTATAGACTTCCATAGCTAATCTTAGTTCTACATAGGATAGTCTGCTATGAAAGTAGGAGCTACAGCTAGTTGTAGTAACATAGGCCCATAATCCTACCACTGCTAGAGGCTGAAGTAAGGAGGATCATAAGTTCAAGCCCCGCTTGGGTAAATTTAGCAATGTAGCCCAATAAAAAAAAAAAAAAAGGGCTGAAGATGTGGCTTAAAGGCCCTAGATTTTTAATCCCCAGTCATGGGGGAGCAGGGACACTTGCTTTGTAAATTGTAAGTTCACTGTGAATCTCCTCAGCGAGTACTAGATGGGAAAAAAACTCAGTGAAGAGATACATTACTATTACTTTTTCTGGATTCTATTGACCTAAGAAAGAGGACAATGCAAGGATTGTTTTTGGAGAGTGAAAACACTTAACAGATCTTTCAGTCAAGGATATTAAGCTGAGTAGAAAAAGTGTGCTAAGTAAAACACACAAAAAAGGAGAAAAGGTTACAAGTAATTTTCCTGTAAAAATTTGATGGTATTTAAAAAATACTTAAGTGCTGAAAATTTTCAAATTCATTTTATTTACTTTTAGGGTTGTCTTGAGGCTATTTAAAATTACCCAAACATGCAAGCCAAAAACTAGAGGTACTCGAAACAGGTGGCCCGGTGGAAGAAGCTAGGTCTGCAAAATAAAATTACTCGAACTATTCTCTGGATTTTGGGTCAGGTTGTACAATTTAAAAATAGGGATAATTACCCTGGATTTCTTTGCATATAAAAACATAGAACAAATAGCTGAAAATACGTATCATTTTCCATTGCCTTTGTTTGCTTTTGTACAATGGAGACTCCCGGCTTAAGAGTACGCAGGAATGTTTAACAATTTTTGTCGCTATAATTATAGTATCAGAAAGAGCAAACTACATATAATATAAAGATGCAAAGAGCATTTCCCATCCATTAATTCCATCAAATATTTAGTCTATCTGCTACAAAGGAAACGCTGTTGGGTACACGGTATGTAAAAAGTACCTGTTATAGTAATTATGCATTTTTTTAAAGCACATTTTTTTTTTTTTAACGCTAAAGCAATCAGGTGAGACCGGAGACTCGAAAACGCCCAGGTTCCGC